GCAGCTGTGGCTACAACTGTAGCTGCCTCCACCAGTGTGTGAATGTGAGAGTGAATGAATAGTGGTATTGTAAAGCGCTTTGAGGGCCCCGAAAACCATTATATAAATGCAATCCATTATTATTATTATTATTAATCTGAAGCAAGACTCCACTGATAGCTAGAAATTCCACAGTTCTGGTTAATTGGACACCGACCAAACCTATTAGTTTGAGGAGATTGTCCAGACTGAGCTTTGTTCCCATTCCACAGTGGGACAGATACTTGCATGACTATAGGTATATTGTATGTACAGTCAGTCACACAAAAACTGACTATACAAACATAATACAAATAAAATTATTAGCTGTTGTTTGAATATAAAAACAACAGCTAAGAACAGTCCTGAACAGAGTTGCATAAGAACAGTAAGAGTATAATTGTACAAGTTCTCTACGCTGCAAGATCTCTATCTGTCACAGACGCATGTTTGTAGACACAGGTCTACAAAAGTACCTACAGATACCAAAACCTCACTCACCAGTACTTGGCACAGAGCTCGTAGGAGGCAGCATGGTAGAGCAAGAGGGTGTTCGTGTAGTCATCCAAAGTCCAGACTGCTTCTTCTCCCCATAGACTAAAGCTGGTTTCCAAAGATATGACGGTAGATGGTGGGCTATAGGTCTCCAGCCTGTAAACTGCCTGAAGACTCAGACAGTCTATAACTAGCAGGCCCGGGCCATTGGAGAACCATAACTGATAAACATAAATGTATAGACATGGTTTGGCTGATGAGTTCATGTGTAGCCATTATATAACTCAAACATAACTTTGACATGGTTAGTACTGTCTGTTCACCTGGGATCCACTGCCAACCAGAGCCATGGTCCTGATGGGATAAGGTCTCTGCCTGGGATCTGAATCCTTCAGACCAAACACCGTCTTATTCAGGGTGTGGGAGCAGATGTATGTTTCTCCTTCTAGTGGAAGGTCCTCCACTACGTTATACACCGCCAACAGACCGTCTGACATCCCTGCAAACACTTTGTCCAGGCTCTTAATAGGAGGAGAAAAAATATTTTTACATTTAAATACTGGTTTCACTCTTCACTCTCTCTTTGTAAACCACCTTACCATGGTGGAGGGGTTTGTTGTTGGGCGAAAAGCAAGGTGGTTATATAGTGTAGTGGTTCACACATGTGATTTAATGTATGAAAGGTCAGTTGTTTAAAACAGGATAAGAGACAAATCCTTAAGAGGGCTGTGTCAGAAAAGCACCAGGTTTAAAAAAATATGTAACTAACTCCAAACCCTGCAGGACTTGAGGGAGAATAAGATAAGATAAGATAAGATATCTCTTTATTGTCATTGCACAGTCATACATAGTACAATAGTACAATGAAATTGGAAAACTGTCCTACGTCAGCACTACATATAACACAACACGACACGATACGACACATCACAACGCAACACAAACAACACAACACAGTATATTAACTTAGTAATAAAAAAGAAGAATAAGTGTATTTGTATTGCACACTGTTATTATTGCACATTAATTATTATTGCACCTTGTTATAAATATAAATATTATTATTGTTATTGTTTTAAACATTGTTACCTCCCCCCTAAAAAAGTTCAGGGAGGTAGCCAGTCAGGTCAGCTATCTGCATTGATCAGGGCTGTTGCCCTGTTGTAAAAGCTGTCCTTGAGTCTATTTGTTCGGGACCTCAGCAGCCTGAACCTCCGGCTAGACGGCAGCAGCTTAAACACCCGGTGTCCTGGGTGTGTGCAGTCCTGCAGGATGCTGCGTGCCCTCCTGAGACAGCGAGTGCTGTACAGGTCCTTCAGGGAGGGAAGAGGATGTCCAATGATTTTTTGGGCCATATTGATGACCCTCTGGAGTGCCTTTCTGTGTGCTGTGGTGCAGCTGGAGAACCACACACCGATGCAATATGTCAGCACACTTTCAATGGAGCAGCGGTAGAGCCTGACAACTCCACCTTAGACCATGGAGCTCAGCACAGCACAAGAAGAACATAAGCCTGCTCACTTGTTGGTCTACCACCTGCATTAGGTGCTATAGGGGTTGGTGGCTTATGGATTGGGTGATGTAGAGACCAGGATGGTCCAATCTCAGAATGTTAGCTCTCTGTAGTCAGGCTCATGTCAACCCACAGTTTGGATTTTGAAACCAGTCTTATGGAGAGGGACTGGAGTCCAATCCAGAGTTACCTTCAGTGAGAGGCATTGTGGACGGGGCAGGGCATACTTGTATCCCTCTAGTTTGGTATCTGTATGTTGGAGGTGTTCTGGGTTTGTTTTCATAATTAAGTATTGCTTTTTTTCATCTTCAGATTGGGGAAGGAATCTCAATTGTTGTTTCTACTTAAGTTCCAAACAGTGGTTCGGAGAACCAGTAACTGACTAGTGGCGCCTTTTTTTGAGCAATTACAGGGGGGCTTTGCTTATGTTTATGTTTGGGACTTGCTTGTTTCATATCTTTGTCCTGGTGCATAACCCAAAAGTGCTTTACCTTCAGTGCACAAGCACATGGCTTGACGTTACACTTGAGGATTTTATGGTAGAGAGCAGAATTCATGTGTCCATCAATGACAGCAAGCCGTCCAGGTCATTTATAAAATAGTAATGGGACGAAATCCTTCCAAAAGGTTCTTTTGTCTCATCAGTCCACAGACTATTCAATTATTTTTTTTATATAGAACCAACATCACAACAACTGTCACCTCAAGGTACTTCATATAAGATGGTAAAGACTATACAATAATAGACACGAAACCCCAACAATTGATGACCTCCTATGAGGCAACCCTTGGTGACAACAGGAAGAAAGAAACTCCCTTTTAACAGGAAAAACAACCTCTGGCAGAACCATACTCCGGAAGGAGCAACCTTCTGTCATGAGTGGATAAGGGTGAGGGAAGGGAAACAGGACAAGAGACACATTCCCAAAGAGAGGCAGAGATTGATGCTAACTAATGATTAAATGCAAAGTAGTGTATAAACACAGAGAGTGAAGAAATATTGTTCTTCTTTGAATGATGGATCTGGATTATGGGGCTATGGTTTATTGGAGTTCCAACGTCTTAGAAAAAGCTTTGTAACCCTTTCAACTTCACTTTGTCAGAGAGCTTCTATTCAGGTGATTCCTTGATTCAAAAGGTCTAGCAATAATCAGCCCTTTGTGAAACTGAACTATGGTTTCAGATGCGTTTTCACAACTGAAAATACGATGTTTTGTTTTTGTTTGTTGTTGACTGTGCATTAGGAACATTGGGAATATGCCAGACTATTCCATGCGCTATTCTCACATAAGAGTTGCCAGACTAATGACCGTTTTGGTGTGATCTGACTGGATTGGACATTTGCATGTGTGAAAAAGGTGACAGAATAATTATGGTCTCTTTGTTCCTGTTGCAGCGCATAGTGGTTTGTTTAAATATGCAAAACATGCAAACATTCTGAGCCTCGCCACTCGCAGAGGTTTCCATTGCTTCGATACACTTGGTGAAAACCTTCAGGGTGAGTGCCAGCCTAAATTACACCCATAACCACTGAAACTGGATGGTCACAGCCCTGTACTGCCCCCTAGAGACCTGAAGAATAAGCTCTGTAACAACATTATCTCCTCCCAAACCGTAAGACTGGGAGTTTCCAGCAGTTGGCTCATGTCCTCAAACTGCTCAGCATGGTAGGCTGAAAGCAGGGTGACCACATCGACCTCAGTCAAATTAATGTGGTTACTCAGTCAACTCTTCTATATATTATTATAATTATTATGAATATTAAATGCAACAGTTATTCCTGAAACCAGAAAAACCCGCGTTCATGGATTACATTACAGCATCATTAGTGTTCACGAATAATCTTCATGATGAAGAAACTGAAAATGTGTGCTTGCAGTGATTTGTCTGTCTTGATAGAGGTGGTGGTAGTGTAGCTTCACACTACCACCACAGAGGGTGCATCCCTTAGTGAGATACCAAGTGAGGTTTGAAAGAGAATTGCTGAGATGTATTTAGACTCTCTCCTATCAGTCTTTCACTAATTACTTCCTCTACACCATAAATGTCTCTACTAGACCCCATTCCTACTCTAATGCTTAAAGAAGTCCTATCATGAACTAGTCCTTCAATCTTAATATCTCTCTTTAAAGAGCTACACAACACAAGCTTTTAAGATGCTGGTTATTTAACCATTACTTTTAGGGATATTCAATCTGCTGGATTGTCTCAGATTTGCATAAACACATTTATGATAGAAATATACAGCAAGCGATGTACATTTTATCAAAAAGTTTTCAAGATATATATTTTGTAAAAATGTCACATTATCATTTATTTTGAATATCTCAAAGATTATTAAAGCCTGAAATTTTCCCTGTTCTTTCTCACCATCAAAATTTATCAGGATCTGTAATTTGTGTGTAAATTGGGATCATTAATTAGAAAAAATGTGTTGGCTAGTTAAAATATGAAAACTATATAAAAGTATGCAGATTGGAGGTGGTCGTAATCTGTATTGATCAATACCCAACTTTGCCAAAAGTCATTTTAAAACATGTAACTGAACGTATGCAGAGAAATTGTTTATTTGAAGAACTTCTGTTACCTTTCTGAGTTCATCGCAGCACTAGCAAATGTTATTGATGACCTTTTTATGACCTCTCCCAGTAGACTAATTTCTATGCTTGACTGTTAGAATGTAAGTGCAGCGTTCAATACCGCTGACCACAAGATTTCACTGCACAGTAAGTTCATCCATTTACTACTTCGAGGCTGGTCTACTGTGATTTACTGTCATGTTCCTTAAAAAGCCTTGAGTTGACCATGAATGCTGCAGCAATAGCACTGATAGGGATTACTATGCATCTTCCTTATTCACTGGCTTTTCACTCTTTACTGGCCACGTGGTAAATCCAGAACTGAATTTAATATCTTTCTCCTTACATACAGTGTCTTGAGTAATCAGGTCCCATCATATCTTAAAGATCTAACAGTACCACATTGTTCTGACAGACCTCTTCACTCTCAAACGGAGAGCTTACTTATGGTTCCTAGAGTTTCTAAAAGCTGAATGGTAGACAGAGCATTCCTCCTACAGCCCCTCCTTCTGTGGGAGACAGACACCCTGTCTACTTTTAACACCAGGCTTGAAACATTTTTGATAAAGCATATAGTTTGTTCAGGGTCACCTGATCCAGCCCTGTCTGTTAGTTATGTTGCAATAGCCACAGACTGTTGGAGGCGTTCCTAGAAATGGATCCTAAACTCTGACTCTGTGTCACATGTGTGTCTTTTGTCTTGTTTCCTCTGTTCTCTTCTCATCCCCCTCATCCCCATGACATTTACCCCATAGTCTCATCAGACTGCCTCTCCCTGAGTCAGGCTCTGCCAGAAGTTTCTTCCTGTTAAAAAGGGGCTTTTCCTTCCCAGTGTCACTAAGTCCTTGTTCACAGTGGCTCATCTGATTGTTGTGTTTTTTCTCAGATATTTTAGGATCTTTACTCTACAATATAAAGGACCTTGAGGTTGCAGTTGTTGTCATGTGGCACTATACAAATAAAACTCAATGTACTATTTTTTAATGACTGAGCAATGACAACTGAATGGTAAATAAATTCCAGACAAACAAAAACATGTAACACCACATATAAAAAGCATTTTGCATATTACTCTGAAAACAAATCTTTGTATGCTGTTGCAAAAACAATAAAAAACAACATTTCTACCGTTATTAAGCGATCCTCCTCAAACGCATTTGAGGTAACAATAGGTCAGTACGTAAAGCTCTTGTATTACAAGCTCACGGTTGCTCATTTTGTCTTCTACTAATGCTCTTTCAAAATGCAGCCTACCTATGCAAACACTGTATTTTAAGGCCTGGTGTAAAGAGGCAGATAAAACTTGCTATGCTGCTAACTGTGATCCTAACTCGATCCTTTGTGTGTTGACACCATGTAAAGCCAAATATGTGTAACACTTGTTCCCTTTGCTGTCAAATGCATGTGACACAAATGCTCTAGACACAACCTGCTGACATATCAGCAACGTTATGTTTCAGACTGAAGCCCGTATGTAAACCCACAGCACTGAGCAACACAATAACACAGCTTTGAGTAAAACATGACCTGACCTGCTCTCTCGCTGAAACAGGAAACAAACAAGTGATGATGGCGGGACAGGAGAACTGCTTCTGGGGTTGACTGAGTGGACACATGTCCTTCAGACTGTAGATGAACACTTCCTGTTCCTGCCACAGAAACATTAAAGAATTCAGCAAGTTAAAATAAAATAAACAATAAAAGGTGAATCAAATGGACCATTACGGCAAAGCTGGGATGGTC